CCAGAGAATATAAACTTTTTAAACAAATTTCACTGTACACAAAAATTTGCTTTTGCATCACAAATGTATTTAATCTGAAAAATCTCTTAATAACTTAAGAAAATATTTATACATATTTTTTTTAAAAATATATCAACTTGCTATATTGCTATCATTTAGAGTTAATGTGAATGAGCATATCACAGATTAAAATTTTGTATCTTCTGGAGTTAATGTTGCTAGTACAAAATCTGCTAATTCTTTTTATTTTACGCACATGCATATAGTGATTGTCATAGGACGGAATAAAAATGAAATGCTTTACACATATCAATGTTGTGTAAAATAGCCTACATTTCACGATAAACAAATTCTTGATCAGACATTTTTTGAATTAAAAGAATATTACATAATTTTGATACTGTAAGTTGATAAATAACACTTTAATTGAAAACAAGTAATAATTTTTTTTTTAAAGTCAATTCCTACTTATAGTTTGCGTAAAGTAAGAACTCCCCTAGCCATTCGTCTGGACCCATATAACTATTTCAAGCAGGGGTGTGGGGTTAACGAAAAAAAGGGAATATACTCTCCCTGAAATGCACTATTCTTGTTTCCATAGCAGCAGAAGGCCCGAGACTTTGTGGCGGGGGAGTTCTAAACACAGACTAATTATAGGTCAAAATTTTTTTTTTTTTATTTTAGTTACTTTTTATTAAATCATAAAAAAAATTTCTCTTATATGAAGCTAAAGTTAATTATTTACATTTAATGAATGAATTAATATTTGAAAAAACTGCATTAACGTTGAGTGTCAACCGCTCCAAGTTTAAAAAAATGTATTTGAACTTGAACTGATGAATAAAAAGTACAGTACAGAACCCGTTATCCGGAAATCAGAAAACCGGAAAACCAAAAAAACGGAACGAAATTCGATAAATTTTTTTCCTCATAAGATTTTAGGATTTTTCTTTCTTTTTTGAAAGATGTTTACCTTACCATCATTTCAGAAATAATCATTAGTGTATTACCTCATCGTTTTTTCTTATTTTTAAGATTATTTCCAANGATCCTTCTACGACTGCTGATTCTTCTACAATTAACGTCGCAGGTTGCGAAGTTTAACTTCTTCCGCGCGGAGGGACTCCACGCACTATTTTTTTTTAGTTACTTTTTATTAAATAAATAAAAAAAAATTCTCCCATATGAAGCTGAAATGAATTAATTACATTTAATGAATGAATTAATATTTGAAAAAACTGTATTAAAATCAAGTGTCAACCGCTCCATGTTAAAAAAAACGTATTTGAACTTGAATGGATTAATGAAAAGTATTTTATTAACGATTGAAAATTTGAACAAGGTATATAAATATATATAAAGGAAGAGTGTAAATGTACCACGTAATGTAATTAAGTGAATTTACCTGACACAACTAAATAAAATACTTAAAAGTGCGCAATAAACTATTTTTCTTGTTTAAATAGAGCTATTAATTAGAAATTATCACTGATGTTATCTTTGAAATATGTGTAAAACTTAATCTCATATAGTAAAATTTAAAACAAAGACTAACGCTTTCAGAAAATTCCATTTTGTTTTTCGCTCAACCCTATTTAATTAATATTTTAACAACCTGTGTTAACTTCAAGTATCATCCACTACAAGTTCAAAAAAAAAATGCATTTGAACTTGAGTGAGTGAATAAAAAGTATTTTTTTAACAATTGAAAATTTGAACAAGATAAAGGATTGGGGTTTTTAATATTGATACCTGTCTACACTCATTTTCTTTCAAATAACTGAGTTGAATTCACACATTAGAATTGTTTTTCAGTCGCTATGGATGCTCACTTGCAACACTTTATTACACTCTAAATAATAAAAATACAGGTAAAAAAATAACTCAACAATTAATCTTTAAACAATAGTTAAACTGTTTAATTTTTTTCAAATTAAAAAAAATTTAAAAAATTCAAAATTTTTAAATCCTTAAAGCTTTTTTATTTCAACAAATTTTCGCAAATTTTTTCTTTTCTTAGTGCTTATAATATTCATCTTAACAATTTTGTTCTATTTGATATATCATTTAGAACATTGTTTATAAATTATTTTGTAAAAAAGTAGAAAAAAAAATTAAAAATTCCTGTTAGGTATATATAACATGCTATAAAAATTGCATAAAATACTCATTCCATGCACGGTTTAAATAAGTGTATTATATTTAAGATAAAAAAAGTTTATTTCAAAGCTTTATCTTAAATAGAAAAAATTCCTTAGGGCTTTAATTAAGATTAAAACACAAAATTATCAGCTATGAAAAGAAGCACTTTAAAGTCTGTCTGCTGATCAAGTTTCTGTATTAAGGTAATTTAAAATCAATCATAACATTTTTTAAAATGTAGATAGATTGATGATTTTTTTTCAGTGCATTTGAAATAGTTTGAAGTTTTATTGTAAGTAATAAAAAAATATCGATATTTGAGCAAATTTTTGTGTGTTTTGTATTTGTATTCAAATGTATCATTCAAATGATCTATATGTAACTTTGTACAAACGAAATTCTATATAACACAAAGGTTCAAGGTTAGCATTCCACAGAATTTCTATTGTAATAACATAGCATTACATTTTGTGAGAAATTATGAAGATGGAAAACATACTGTTTGCAATAGAATCTTTTAAGAGCAAGTCAATGCTTGATGTTCCCTACATCTTTTTTTTAAAGTCCATCGTTGAGCTTGCATTTACTAATTCACTTTTTTATTTTATTTTATAACCGTCGTTTAACAGCCGTACCAATTTTGGGCTTACGTCAACTAACATTCAATTCTGCAGCCTTGTAATTTCCAACCAATCCAGAAGACAAGGAAACTCCTGGATCAGTACCCAGAGATGTATTGATTTGTTGTGGGAACATGGAGGACTTTGTGAATCGACAGATTTAACAGGCATCAGACACCTTTTACATCACGGGGAGTCTTTGGCTAGAGGGATCAAACCCACAACCTCTTGGACAAGGGTTCAGTGCCCTACCAACCACGCTATTTCAGCCAATTTACTGTAAAATAATTTATTACTAATGTCATGGCAAGCATGTTGAAATGTCAATATCATGCTCTATTCCATGATGGCTCAGGGGATGGAACATTCGCCTCCCAATGAGGTGAACCGGGTTTGAATCCCAGCGATGTCTGGTCGATATGAATTTTGCAACCGACTTGCATGGACCACAGTACCTACGTACAGTACCTTGCCGCCAGGCTAACCGTGAGAGGTTAACCAAATGCAGCTTAGTTCTATCAAAAAAAGTCCACCACAAAGGCAAATTTTTTCCCAATACTTGATCCAGGAATTCCCTTGTCTTGTGGATCGGGTTCAAAATTACAAGGCTACGGAGCTGAACATTAGTAGTGGTAAACTGAAAATTCGGTTGGCTGTTTAACGATGGTTATAAAACAAAATAAATTGAAAGGTTGACATGGAGACACTTTCTTCGGCCTGTGAAACTTAATTCATTTGATAGTTAATAACAATGCTTTGAATTTATTCCAATACTTATTTGCGTTTTAATAATAGTTGTCGTAAACCACAAAAAATTGGGTCGGCTGTTCAACAAAGGTTATAAATTACTAACGTCATGATTAAGGAAATTGCAGGAAATGTTATTATCAATGTAATTGAAGCTACGTATTGATTAGACACAACCTTTATAAATATTTAATAGCAAATAAACATTCCCATTATTAAAATCTTAAAAATAAATACCATCTTGAAGTCTATACATATTACAACACGTCATTCGGTGAGGTAAAAAGGCACAATTGAACTACCACACATTTCAGTTGATAATAGCCAGAGAGTTATAAATGTAGACTAAAACAAAATGGTTGCCTTTCATCTGGATGTGGTGGGTCTGATAGCAGAATCTAAGTTCTCTACAATCCCAGCATTGGTCACATAGGAGCTATTATTATAAATCATCCATAGCTACCAACATGGATAGGAAAAAATTTAGTAAATTTTCAAAACAATATAAATTTCATGATAACTGTTGCATAATCTACTAAACATTATACACATAGGGATTTTTATCGTCATTAAAATAGAAAAACTGCAATATTTTCCAGTTATGATTGACATTAAACATACTGGAAATGTTATGTATTATGCTTCCTCATAATTTTGAATATTAACAGGCATTTAATTCATCAAACATATTAAAAGATTTTTTAATTAATTAATTTAAAGAGAGAGTTTTGAATTTTAAAAAAAAATGAACATTTTGGAACAAAAAAGTTTTGAATTGATTTCTTGCTGTTTATTTCATTATGTATTAGTAATACTTATTTAAATACATTCAAGCAAGCAAGCAATGATCTGTACAAAAATTCTATTTAAAAAGGAATTTTTCAGGACACTTACTCAATTTTAGGAAATATTCTAAAAAGTCAAAAACCAGGAGAATTTTAATTAAGTCAGTAGACCAAGAGAACTGGCAAAATCCAGTAGTCTACTGGAAAATCTATTAGAGTTGGCAGCTATGATCATAACAGCGGTACTTAAATACATTAGACAGATAAAAACTACATACCTAAAGATTTATATCGTTTAAATTAAATTGAAATTTTGTACACAATACATAAAAAATGGAATAAATCAATATAGTCAAGAAAGAATAAACGGGGAATAACATATAATAATAAAAAAATTTCTTAGCTTCTATTTTTTATTTTATTTACAAAAAGTCCTTATTAAAATTTGATAAATCATGATGCCCACATCTACGGTGCAAAGTTTCTGCTATCAGAGTCCAGGGTTAAAATGCAATCACTTTTAGGTTAGCAGACTAAATACAATTGTTAGATAAATATACATTGTTTATTTTTATTGCATTCATTCTCGTTAAAAGAATTTTTAAATATTTATTTATTCCTCCTTAAAGTACCACAAGCAAGATAAAAGAAAACATTTTACTCCAGCCATTACACAGGATGTTCCGTAATGATCAATCGTAAAACATGTTTTAAAAAACCAGAAAGAGGACAAGAAAATAAACACACGGAGGATCACAAGTTAACACTCATGCAAAGAAAAAAACGAAAACACTATTAAAAATCTAACAAATCATATTTGAAGGAGGTCGGGACTGAAAACATCAAAGAGTTGTCAGAGGAGAATTCAAACAGGATTCATTAGACAATCAAATTGGCATTGGTTTAGGTTTATTTTAATTCCTTTCTGTCTTGGTAGTGATTTGTTAATTTACTGTAGCAATGATTCCGTTATACTTTTAAAACTATGGGTCCTTAACTCAAGACTTGCGAATTTGCGAGTCCTTTTTTTTTTTAACTAAAAGAGCTTCCCTATTCCAAATAATACAGATTTCTCATGCAAATCTATACATAGAAATTTTTCATGAGAATTAAGATTTGTAATTGACTCTGTAATAATAATTTAACAAAGAATTAAAACCAAAATTTCAATATCAAGCCAACTCAAAATTATTTTAATTTCCTCCTTCTATTAATATTGAAGAAAAATAATTTTTTTAAAAAGTTAGGTTCAATTTTGCTTACACATTTGTTAACTAATACTTTTACGCCATACATTTTTAAGTTGCAAACCTCAGTGCGTTTATTTTTTTTAATCACCACTTCTGAAAAAGGACTCTAAAAACATGTATCAAGAGCGGTCATTACAGAACATCCTGCAATGTTTATACAAGGCTAAATCCTTTCAGGAATGTGTGGTATGCTCGTTTGTCTAGCGTAAAAGTATGTTAAAAATGAAACTAAATGAGTCTTGAGTTCTTGAGATACTGGATGAGAACTGTGTAGACAAACTTGTATTGAGCTAATGTCTGGACGGTCAACATACGTTGAAATCTGAGATGGGTCAGAACTTTTGGCACATCCACAGCCTACAAGAACAAAAAATTGTTTTTTATTTTTATTTTTCATACACTCATATAGTCACTCCAATTAATAGTAGATCAGATAATCTCCAACAACTTGCTTTTACAAATAAAATCTAATGGAAGCAAATTATTTTATCTAGAACCATAGCAGCCAACAAGGATAGGAAAATATCCAGAAGATTTTACAAAATATAAATTTCATGATAATTGTTGCATGAATATTTTAAACATAGGGAATTTTAGGGATTTTTATAGTCATCAAAAAGAAGCAATATTTTCCATTTATGACTGTCATTAAATATACTTGAAATGTTATGTTAACTCATAATTTCGAATAGGCATTTAATTCATCAAAGATTTTTTAAATTAATTTAAAAAGAAAATTGCTGAATAAAAATAACTGCACATTTTGAACAAAAAAAAGTATTGAACTGATTTCTATAAATGAGCTTCACTTCATTATGCATTAGGTAAAAAGTAATCGTGCAAAAGGTAATCGTATTACAATGGAGAGGCATTACCTGATTATGATCGAGACAATGAAGCATAATGTCACAGAGAAGAACTGCACCAGAACGTCCAACACCCGCACTACAATGTACAAGTACAGGCTGGCGGCTGTCTGCTGCTGCATGCCTTCGAACTGCATCCATTTCTCCCATGAAAGCTGTAGTTTTAAACATAGCATAGATTTGATTACATCATAGATTTTCACCAATTATAGATTTTAACACATTATAGATTTTGATCATTTAAAGATTTCAGCATATTTCAGATTTAAACATATTATTGATTTTGGCATATTATAGTGTGATATTGCTCATGAAGCATGACCTCCATTTATAACCTATCACCCACCGCCTTATTTTTAATTTAATTTTATTGACTGCCTAGTTCAACAGACAACTTTGCTAACTTAGATACCCAGATCTAAGTTGGCAACCACTCATGAGTGATGCGTGTGTGTTTATATTGTCTTTCTCCGCAAGCTATGAATATTATATTTAGAATTAGATGCGATAAACAAATCTGTCAAGATAATGTGATAAGCAGATCTAAGTTGTTTAGGACTCTTTCCCATTTTTGCAGTGGTTTTCTTTATTTTATTTCTAATTGTCATTTATTATTTGATACTTAGAACATGCGAAGGAGACCAGGGGTGTTAGCCCTAATCATTGACCCATTGTGGGCTTCACAAAGCAATATGCAAAACTGATAAATATTCATATATTTCAAATGCTTTATATAAATGTGAGATGACATGAAAAATTGAGAGGGGACACATTATAATCATTTTTTGGTTTACGATTATCACAGTAAAACTCCATAGCCTTGTCAGTGTGAACCCAATCAAGAAGACAAGGAAACTTCAGAATCAAGCATAGGGACAGTCTAACCTTCATAGAGGACCTTTTAATGGAACTAATGTGAACTTGAATTATGTGCGAAAACTTCCAATTGTTACTCCAACAGCAAGGGAATTCTAACTCATGATATGATTTTCACCACATTCAACAAATGAGAATAATTTTATATCACCACTGTGGTCGGTGTGATACTTTCGATTATTGCCATAAATGGACAGAAAAATACCAAAACCTACTATGGTTAGTGCAAAGGCAAAAAGGATTCTAACCCATGAAGCGTCTATCACTGAGAATATTTTACGTCAGCAATGAAATGGACAGAGCAGAAATCAAATTGAAATATTTAATATAATGGAAAATAGTTGACTTACAGATGAAACCTGGGAGGTCGTGGGGGCAGCTGTGGTCGGGCCAGTCTGTATATTGGATGTGCCATAGAGGTCTCTGCTGGTGTGAGATGACATGAGATAATGAGAGCGAACACGTTGTGTAGGTGGAAGATGACATGCTGAAGTTCCTTGTGATTTGGAACTAAAAAGAGATAGAAAGAATGAGAAGCACTGTAATATAATATGATTTCAAATTTTTAACAAATTAAACTAAAATAAAAATACCAATTTCCAAGAATTATTATATTAAATAAAATTGCATAAGTTAAGTTTAAAACTATTTTGCATAAGTATATTCCGTAGTTTCACTTTTTTACTGTTAGTTGTTTTAAAATGTCATTACTTTATGAACTCTCAATTGGAATAATTTCTTACAAAGAGAAGAGATGATTTAGAATTCTGTTTTTAAAATTGTAGTTTAATTAACATATTTTTTTAATGAAAGGGCAATATTTTTTTAATTTAAGAGTTTTTCTAATCTAAAAACCAACTAAACGTTAAAAAATAAATAAATTTGTAGATGATCCCTCAGTACATTATAAAAAGTCTGTCCTTGATGAATTGTTAACTGAATTAAAATAATTTTAAATAAACTACATACAGAGATCAAGTCAAATTTTCGAAACCACTAATCCTCATCATACAAGATTTTCAGTTTTTTTAAAAAAAATGGTAAAAAAGAATATGACCCCCAATTCTTCATTATGAAATTTCATGATAGGAAAATTTATTTACTTGCACTAGAGACTTAACCGATGGAGTCCTAGATTACTTTTGTAGAATTTGTGGAGAGTCTTCCAGTCTAATATATAAAGTTTTTGCAGTTTAATAACTGTTAATTGCATAATATGAAGTAAATCTGATAAAAAAATGGAATTCTACAGATTCATGGAACATTGGCATGTCTGATGCTCAGCAGTCCCGTGTAGAACAAGATCCTTTTGGTGGCGGTGATCGTTTTAAATTAATTAGTGGATTCATACAGTGCAAGTAAAAATATGCTTAAAAATACTTACATCATTGTAGTTTTAAGCATATTTTTGGTTGTTGCAGATACATATTAATTTGGATGATATAGTGATAATTATCTCAGAGAAATGAATAAAATTGTTTAAGAAAAATTTGGATTTATTAAGTAAATATTAGTAGATTAAAAATGGCCATATTTAAAATATAAAAATAAAGAAAAAACCTTTAAAGGGATCAAGCAAAATCATTCTGTTAAGATTGATATTCAATGGTGGGGGACTGGGAGGCCCAGGAGGGTACTCCCAGTCGACAAAAATTGCTAATTGAAAGTGAATGAATCCACCGTAATTTTCCACTGACTTTCTGTTTTGCAGCAGTTATCTATTGATTATACAAATTTTGATGTTTTTAATACAATGTTAATGAGACACATGAATTTCGAATTCGATTTAACACTTTTAAACACACTCAGTTCCCAACCATTGCATCCTTAATACACATAATTTTTCAAACACTTCCACAAAATTTTTAAATTAGGATGTTATTGCAATACCCAAATTGAGTCATCTCTTTCTGATGAATGCTTAATTTGGGACAAATCTATCGTAAATCTAAGTGGGTTTTTTGATCATTCATCATTGTTGATCATATGATGATTATGTATCATTTATATTTTTAGCCATTTCTATGTTATTCCCGAGCTTTTTTTTCTTTTTAAAAAAAAACTTCAATATTTTTAATATGATTCTCAAATTTTAAACCTATTCCATCATACATTCACGTCGTTTACTGATAGTTTTTCTGTAGTTATCCTCATGTTTTTTACTATTTCTACATAGCTTTGCATAGGTTAATGTTCTTAATACGATGTTATTACGACACACAACTTTTGAATTCGAGGTATTTTCTCCCCTTTTCTTTTACCCACTCAGTTTCCAACGATTCGGTCATACTTCCACATTGTATCCCGATCGTGTTTTTCGGTAGTTATTTATAGATTTCTGTCTATTTTTCTTTTGACATAACTATTGTTATTATGACACGCAAATTTCGAATGCAAGTTAACACTTCCTTAAGAACTTAAAGAAAAAAATTCTGCTACTCATTCAAAAAAAATCTTGAGTTTTTCTGGACTTTCATTACCCTTTTTAAAATCTAAGACTCTCGTGACTGGTACACACCGAGTTCTTTATATGTCAAAAAGGAAATTATTATTATCACTATTTTTTTAAATTACAGATTTTAAATAAAAAAGATTACTCTAAGAATATAGGATTAATTCAGAAAAAGCAGATAGTTAATCATTATTTACTAGAACAAAGAGATCAAAGGACAAAAATACTTATCTCACTAAAATCAAATAGAAAGAAGATTTTTTTTTCAACCCAGATATTATATCAATTGGAGGAGTGAATTTATTATTAAATATTTTATTAAAAATGACCATGCAAAAGGAAATCAATGAAGCAGATAAAAATAACAAAAAATCTTTAAAAAATACTAAAAATAAAAATAATAAATAAATCTTTTCGGAACACCAAAAATGTAAGAACATTTTTAAATTTTTAGATTCAAAAATTATAAATGATAGTGTTTGTTTATTTCATTACAAGAGTAGTATTAAAGCACAAATTTTGTACTTACCTCTCCAATTTGGAGTTTATTACCATCTTCTTGGGGCCAATATGGAAAACACTTCTCACGCCCTTCCTCCTAAATATTTTAAACACATTTTATACCAGGAATTTTTTTATATACACTAATATAATTCTTTTTCATTCAACTATAGCTATAAAACTGAACAAATTTGTAACAGATTGATTATAATTTGTTTTGTCATCATTTTGTTTTCAAAGTTTCAGGGGTCATATTGAGCCGCAAATTTCTTGATTAAAATCATTGTTAACCCATTTCAAAAAAATTAATGTCTTTAAAAATTTTAATCATTGATATATTCAAAACATGAAATTCTAAATAAATTATATGCAGCTAAATATAAGTTCACTTTTGTCTCTTATCACATTTATTATTCTACCAAAAAATGTTTACAAATGAAAGAGATGCCAATCATAAATTCTAGTTCTAATATTTTTAAATAAAATATACAAGAATTTTATACATAAACGTGATCAATGATTTCTTTAAACTTCTGGACCTTGGATTTCGGGAAACTTCCGCATCACGGTTTACGAAAAATCGAAAATCCGGATTTTTCTGGACCACAATCATCTCTGAATTTTATATAGTAATTAGGAATAATGAAACTAAAATTGCATCATTATTAAATAAATAAACTGCACAACTAAATAGTGCTTACAAAAAGTTTATTGATAAAAACTCTTGATTTAATTTATGTTTCAAGGAAATATGCTTTCAAAAATATTTTTAATGCCAGATTTTTTCAAATTCTTTCTGTTCTTTAAAAAATTTCTCATAATTAATTTTTATAACAAATTTAATAAGTAAACTATGTTTTGAGTTTATTTAAGCCCTATATACTACTAAACAAGTTTCTTACTTGAACATCTGTTAGCATGACAATAACCATGACATGATCTTCCCATACCATTTGCCAGAAGCTGTACAGTGTATTGGGAAGAGGACCCTGGGCAGCTATATAGAACCTTTGCATGGATCCTATGGACACCTACATTTACAAGTATTTTGATTTTAAAACTCTAGTCACAAGTCAATAATTAGTTATATATTTATGACAGTTTCAATGGTGACATGCATAAATTACATGGTATTGAACAGCCATCGCTGAGATTCGAACTTGGTTCACCTCATTTGAAGGCGAACGCTCTATCCCCTGAGCCACTACGGCTATAATTAAGACAGTAACAAGTTTTGGATTTAAATATCTAGTCACGAGTCAGTGGCATACATAGACTTAGGTGTGCACCCTGTAAGAATTATAAATGTGCTCTATTTCAGACTTAGCACAATTTTTAAAAAAATTATAACATGAGAAAAGAGCACTGAAGAAACAATCAGGAATTTTTAATTATTCATTTTTTTTAAGTTTAATTATTTTAATACTAATTAATAAGTAATTAAATTGCAATGAAAAGGTGGAATTTAGAGAAAAAAAATTGGAACATTGTACGCACTTTCTGATTAACTACAATGAAATGAAATTTATCTTAAGAATACTGAGGAAATAACTCACTATTTTACAATAATTATATTTAAAGTTCAGTTAAGGGTTATTTTTATTTCTAAATTAAATTAAAAAAATATCTAATAAAATATCAAAATCTTTTAATTAAAATTCATATAGTAGGGTACACAACTTTCTGAATGAAGGGCTACATGCTGAAGTACCTAGACATGTTCACGGCATTTTTTTCAAAAATGTTTAATTACTCATTTTATTTTATTTATATGTTTTACTACAACCAAACACTGTGTCTAAAACAATGACCTAAATGTCAGTGTTTTAGACACAGTTCTTTTAATCAGTCTACTTAGTAATAATGCTTGAAATTAAATTTCTTTAAATAATTATTTTTATATTAGTTTAATTCTTTTTTATCAGCCAATATAATAATATACTTGCATAAAATTAAATTCTTTTAAACATTAAATTCATTCAAAACTGATGAAAACTAAACTGATGCTTAAAAAAAATTTCCCTTTTATCAAAAAAAAAGAAAAAAAATTACAGAAAAAATATAAACATGGAAAAGAAGAGATGACTTTTTTTTAATTTTCTTATCGCATCACATAATACAAAAAGTTTACTTTAAAATATATTAACTGTAATGTTATTGAATGAAGTAAAAAATAAAAAAAAGATACATATTTTATTGAGCAATATAAATTCAAATGAAATATTTTAATTTAAAAAATTATATGGCATCTAAAATGATTTAAAATAAAACAAATGCATTATAGCTCAAAATTAGCTTCAACATTCATTTGGGATTAAGTTTATTTTTAATTTTAGGACTTTTATATTTAGTGAATTATGATACAAGAAATTTTATGAATTTTAAATTTTAAAACTTTTTTTAAGAACTTTTTAAACTACCAAAAATTAAAAACAAAGCTCAGTTCAGAAGTTTTGATACATCATGCATAATCATGTAAGTCAAAAAGAGAAATTCAAAATTGGAAATAATATTATTACTTACATTTAGCGAAGTAAAAAATGTTTATATAAATCTTAACCTAAAGAATATTTTTTAAATCATTATTTATAACTACTTAAACAATAAACACTCAACTTACTGCAGTACTGGCAATAGCACTATCTTCCGAGGAATAAAAAAGCATTTTTACAATTAGCAGATATTTTATGGGCAAATTTTAACAAAAAAAAAATTTCTTACACAAATAGAGAGAAATTTGAAAACATACAGGTAAATAGGAGATAGTCGCAAAATACAGGAGTCTTCATTAAAAAACAGGAGACTTATCAGGTATTTACTGGGGTTAGATTACACTAAGTAATTAATTTTTCAGATGATGAATAAAAACTTACATTTAGATAAGAAGCATTTATGTAACCAGTTTTGTTTTCTGAAGTTGGAGTGAGGCGAACTCTGTTTTCTTCATAGGGGAAGACATCTTTAAAACGATTCCTCAGAACATTTTCCGGCAGGAGGGCGGTCGTGAAATCTGCGTTGGGCTTCTTTTTTGGAATTCTTTCAAACTCAAGAAACACTTGACCTTCAGATAGCCTGCTCTCCAGAGCCTGGATCTAAACACAAATCACAACTACAGTTAAAATGGTACTAGAACTAGTTCTTTTTATTGAAATAAATTAAGCGTTAACTATTTAATCTGAGCTCAACTTGAGAAAAGAATGAGAGAAAAAAAAACCACCCCAAATGACTTCTGTTCAATTGAACTGGATTCATCCGAACAACTTGTTAGGTATAAGTATTAGAAGTCTATTTTAATTCATATATGAGCAATTATAATTGAATTTATTAGCATATATAAATACATACAAATAAAAAAAAAAGATTGACAGAAAAAACTTACTTCATTTCTTAAAAATAGACGTTACTTTTACTAAACGTTACGTTACTTTGACGTTACGTTACTTTTTGCTATTGAATGTGAAGAAAGTGTGCATTTATTATAGTCAGTCACAAAAATTGTGGCAATGTGAGTACGATGGGGTAGGAGCTAGAACAGTCTTCTTGTCTCTCTTTAACCCTCTGGAATGTTGAATAACTTTCCATATGGACACAAACAAGACTTGTATAGTTTGTCTAAAGTAAGAACTCTCCTAGCCATTCGTCTGGACCCGTGGCGGTGAGGTATAACTATTTCAAGTAGGGGTGAGAGGTCATTGTTTAGGACAGGTTTTGGCTCGGGGTGGGTGAGGGAAAGGGAATCTTTTTCTTCAGTCTATTTTGTTAGCCCTAGAGTGAAGAGAAGCTACCCTCCCTGAAATATACTATTTTTGTTTACATAGTAGCAGACAGCTTCAGAGTTTGTGGCGGGGGGAGTTCCTACTGCAGACAAACTGAAAAGAATTCAGTCAAGATAAAATAAAAATTGCTTAGTACAAAAATGGCACCCTAGAAATTTATTTATATTTTAATCATACCTGCCAACATTGGAGAAATAAAACAACAGAGATTTTACTAGCAACAATTTTAGGCTATGAGTTAAGTTTTGTCACGTCATGCATAATCATATAAGTCAAAAAGAGAAATTCAAAATTAGAAATAATCTAAGCACTTAGCTAAGTAAAAAATATGTCAATAAATCTTAACCCAAAAAAGATTTTTTTAAAACCATTATTTATAATTAATCAAACTATAAACACTCAAATATGCTGGAGTACAGGCAAAGCACCATCTGTTGAGGAATAAGAGAAGCATTTTTGCCATCAGCAGATATTTTATTGCCAATTTTTTTCTTTTCTTTAAAGTTTCTTCAATAAAAAGGGAGAAATTTAAGAATATACGGGTAAACAGGAGATAGTCATGAAATACAGGAGTCTTCATTAAAAAACAGGACACTTGTCAAGTGTGTTTAATCACGAAGAAAATGCATACCCTAGTATCATTTGGAATCCTGAGTGTACTCAAAGTGGGAGCCAAAAAATTTGGCCTAGACAAACAGAGTCCATTCATAGCTGCAACAAGCATAGGTCCCATCAGGGGGTCCGCCTCCTCTCCACCTTCCATCTTGAGGGAAGAAGGTCGATTGCTGTCCCTCCTGATTGCGAGTCTGGTCGGCCCTTCGGCTTCCGAGGCCTTGCAGTTCTCATAGGAGTGAGTGGGGAGATTGTTTTGCGAGTCTACCAACTTAGTGGAGGCTACGGTCTGCTGCTGAATCGGATTGGAGGTGACGACTTTGGCACATCCCACCGAAACAATCTTGTAAGGCAAATTTGGTTTGTTCAAAACTGCCGACGGATTGGTTGAAACGACCTGCAAAGAGGAGATACCATCACTCGGAGTATCATAAAGGTTAGGTTTTAAAAGTTAGATAAAAAAAAAAGCAAAAAATCAATTAATTTTTTTAATTTCATTAATAAATACAAGGAACTAAAACAAAACATAATACACAAGTTCTAAGTTAATTTTTTTTTTTTAAATATGTGTAAAAAATATTTAATCCACCATCAGTTTACTATCCCAAATTATCTCAGGCAAATGGAAAAAGTTAAATATCGGTCTTTGTATATGGTCACAACCTCACCATCTGAAAAATCTTCTGCATTACTTTCACTCACGAACGCCATTTTTTTACTCTTTATTCTATGTAAATTCCTCAACCATCGTATATACAATTTTATTTTATTTTATAACCGTCGTTGAACAGCCGACCCAATTTCATGAGTTTACGACTACGTACGTTCAACTCCGTAGCCTTGTAATTTTGAACCAATCCAGAAGACAAGGAAACTCCTGGATCAGTACCCCCAGAGGTATTGATTTGTTGTGGGAACATGGAGGACTTTGAGACTCGACAGATTTAACGTGCATCAGTCACCATTTACTACACGGGGAGTTTTCGGCCGGCGAGGATCGAACCAACGACCTCTTGGATATGGGCCCAGCGCCCTACCGACCAGGCTATCCCGGCCCTCATCGTATATACAATTGTACAAAACACGTCTGCAGCTCCGCAAATAGCAAAACTCTCAAACAAATATTGGCAAACTTCACAGCAGATTATTATTATTCACAGCAGATTATTATTATTTGTTGCTTTGCTTCCGGCCGAATAAAAGCGCGATAAAACAAAACAGTTTTATCAGGAATGCTGACGCGCCTGAGTTTACTCTGGATATTAAATATTTGCAATATAAACATACCCGAGTTAACTAGGGATAATCAGAGAGGCGGATAACGGTAAAGAAATAAAATTTATTACGAATTGTAATAATAATTATGATAAAAATCAAAATACACTATTTCTAGTTAAATCAGGTGTACTGCAGCTAGATCTTTGCATGTAAGGATAAGGTGGAGGTGGTTTGAAGTGATGGAGAGGATTTGAGGTGTTTTCATGAGGAACAGCAAGATCAGGAGAACTGTACGTATGAACAGGAGGATCCCGACTGCTCCTGAAATTAGGAGGAAACAAAAATATAACTGAACAATAATGATAATGAAACAAGTAAAAGAAAAAAAAAACTTATAGAAAAGGAATACCTAAAAAGCATTTTTGGATCTACTTTTTCTCCATCACACATATTAAGGAGAGAGAGATCAACATAATTTTTGTACTGACTATAAGATTGTTGTTGTTGCGCAGGATGTACGCTCTCAACAGGATTGGATGTGGGGGATGATTGATATAAATGACTAGCAGACATATCTCCAGTGCTATAACTGTAATAGTGATAACAGTATTAAAAACTTTCATATAACAAAATATATAAATCTAACAAACAGATGTGTAATGACTAAGGCCCGGATTTTGATGACATTTGCATTTTTTTGCATTTTTGGACATTTTTTTTGCCCTTTAGAGCATTTTTTTAGATTTATAGGGCATTTTTCCTTAAATTTTGAGGCGCATTTTGCATTTTAAAAATTTTAATTTTTTTGTTAATTTTTTCCAATTTTTATTTTTTTTTATCAATTTTTATTATTACACTGGCTTCCAAACAATGAAGAAAATCTATAGGATATTAACAGGTGAAGCAAAATCTTTTCAAATTGAAGAAGAATTGTCAGTAAGTGAGACCGTCTTTTTCANACTAATATAATACCTGACATAATCTGATATTTGGTAATATTATGAGATGGAAGTTGTTATATTCATTAAAGTTTCTATACAAAATAAAAATATTTTGGAGTCAATATATTTTCCTTTTTTTGTTATTTTAGAATATAAGACATATTTTTCAAACTTTAACGAACGTAGAACAAGTATTGCATTGCTTTATATTTTTTGAAATGACTCATAATAATTTTAAAGAGTAAAAACATTGTTTCAGTTCAATATTTTTACTTTATTTATTTCATGTCATTAGGCATTTTTAGCGCAATTTTCGCATTTTTAGAGCATTTTTAAGGGCATTTTTTGTACCTTTTAGGGGCATTTTCTGCATTTTTTAAGAGCATTAGTTCAGATTTTTTAGGTCATCAAAATCCGGGCTCTAGTAATGACGAACTTGAATCAAAAATGGATATCAGGTCCATCTTCACCCAGTAAATAAATTCTAAGCCATTGTAATTTTGCTTATTCAAAATAAAATGTACACAAAAAATATCTTTAATAAAATTACGTTTTTCAATTCCTACTATTAGTTCACACTCTCCCTATCTATTGTTCAAATTTTCAATTGTAATAAAATACCTTTTTAATCACTCACTCAAGTTCAAATACATTTTTTTGAACTTGTAGTAGATGACACTTGATGTTTATACAGTTTTTTCAAACATTAATTAACTAATTAAATAGGGATAAGCGAAAAACGAGATGGAATTTTCTGATTGGCTAAGTGTTAGTCGTTGTTTTAATTTTTACTATAAGCGATTCAGTTGTTTACATATTTTAAAGATAACATCAGTGTTAATTTATAGCTCTATTTGAACAGAAAAAATAGTTTATGGCGCATATTTAAATATTTAATATTCGCTGTGTTAAAGACATGCCATCGCTATTTTGATCCTCTGCAGAGGGGATGACCCCCTTGCTTTCAGTGGTTTTAGCATTGACTAAAAGTATTTTCTGAATAAAAATTACCATATGAACTTTACGATAGTTTCTAATTGAATTTTGTAACTAAATTAAGTACACTCCAAACCATTAAATTAATTACTACTGAAAAAGTGAGTACAGTCTCTAATAATTTAATTAAAGTCACAAACAAGAAATTAAGTGCAGGCATTATTAAATTAAGAACACTAAAAAATAATTAATAAATTTCTATCACAAATAATGAAAATTGTAAAGATTAAATAACATTTAAAAATATAATTTAAAATTACTTCTAAGTGTAATGAGTTTAATTTAAAATATGTTTCATACTATCAAAACTATTTATTTGTAACAGTTCCAATACTAATTCAGCAATAATTCATTTTGTTCATTGGAAGATAAAGAAGCAGTAGCTAATCCCTTATCAGTGGGAAAACGTTTTGAATTTCCCTTTCTCGACTACTAGCTTTCACTACTTTTGACATTGAGAAGACTGGTTTTTCTCAAGTGTTCATGTGAAAGTAATTTTTAAAAAAATTCAGATGATTCTTTTAAAATACCGTGTTATTCTAAATTATACCGTGTTATTCTGAATAACCAAAGAGAAAAAAATTAAGGAATATCAGGACAAAATGCTACAAATTAGAAATCAGGACAAAAAAGGACATATTTTTAATCAGGAAAATCACAAATATCAGGGCAACTACAAACCCTGATGAGGGAGAGCAGGAATTCTTTTCAATGAATCCCGCTCACTGTACACGAATGTATACAAGTAAGTAGCATTGCCATTGCAAAAAAAAAAAAAAAAAAAAAAAAAAAAAAAAAAAAAAAAAAAAAAAAAAAAAAAAAA